CGTCTGAGATGTGAGTTTTAGGTCTGGTTCTGGTACTAGTAATACTAATGGTTCTTCTTAAACATTAATCCATCAAACTGCTGTACGTCTGCCCAAGACAGAGTCAGAAAACCAACACATAGCAGCATTTGCCTTTCAACTTTTTGGTCAGTAAAAAACGTTTCTAATGGATTGATATTCCTGGGTCTTTGTAAATTAACATTTACAAAGATGTACAGTTGTGAACTATATAAGTTAGTGATGAAAGATGATGGCTGTTATTTCAGTCTTGTCTCCGGCAGAGCATTCATCAGACACTCACAAAAGAATAAATAACTGGAGCCCACTTGTGCTTCGGCACAAAGACTTATGAGGACCTGTTTGCATTTCAGAGCCACTAGGTGTGCGCACATCTCTGGTGTACTTGATACAGAGTTTAAGATATGTCGTGCTTGGAGCCACTTAAAGCTGCATTGTTTTGTTGTGTGTTCAAAGCCATATACTTCAATCGAGCAGAGCTTATTAAGTTGAGCTAAAGTTGCCACCTGTAGATTTTAGTAGATGTGAAGTGTCAAAATCTCTTTTGTGCCACAAATAATTTCAAAGAGGTTTGCAATCATATCACTGCTGCATCTCTAGTGCTCTGAACAGCGCGCACACAGGGAGGTTTTACACAACGCTCTGACAACAGGATTATTACTAACTTTTGTTTGTTCAGTGACTTATATGTGCTACATCTGCTATCCGTCTTCAAACCTCAGCTTCTTTACATGATTATGCTGCTTTCTGCTGAAACTCAACCTCGAGAAACGCCAATCATGTTTCCTCAACAACATTTTTGGGCTGAATGGTGCAATCTGCCTGAAATGTTCCAACCTGGAGGACTGGATATGATCAGTTTAAATATATCCTTGTTTTCCCCAAAGACTCCACAGGTGTCAGGAGCAAGAGGCAGAACAGTGTTGTCTGTGATGAGATAAAGCAGTGTCCCAGTGAGCCACAGCCCTCAGAACATGAGATCAGTGGAGCATATTCAAAAGTCATTAGAAGTGCTCCTGTCACAGTCTTGTGATAGAGAAGCAAGCCTTTAGCTACTCCACGTGTCTCCAGTGTCTCTGCTCCCATGTCCCAGAGCCAAAGGCAATGATGCTGGGCAATGGCCACTGGTGAGAGGATTCCATGTTTTTCCTCGTGGCGCTCCTCTGTGTCCTGGGACATGTTTGGAGCAGAGGGCAGAGGAAGGGATCGCTGCCCGCCCCGGAGGCCCTCGCTCACTCTGTAACTTACATTAAAGAAAGTTCTAATCACTGCGGGGACTTGGCCAATGATGTGCTTATCAAACGGCATATTTCAAAAAGGCATCTTAAAAGGCCCGAGGGCGAAGAGGCAATAAGAGCACATTTGTATGTGGATGAAAGGGAAAAGTGTAGACAGACCTTGCATCAGAATACAGAGGGGGGGATCATTAGCATCCCCAGCAAAATATGCACAAGCAGAGGGAGCGAGCCAGCCGCGTCACAGGCCTGTTATTGGTTTTTACGGCTCCCAAAAAGAATGATAGAACAAATACATTTTTAAACAAAAGCCATGCTCATGATGAAGGGGGGACACAGGGGGCCTCAGGTGGCTCAGCTCTGTGGGCGTGAGAAGCCACAGCCCTTCTCCACAAAGCACAAAGAGTTTGGGGCTTTGATGTGCTCGGAGAGGAGATAAAGGACGACACGTTCCTTGCACTTTGAGAGCCACAGTCTGGCCGTCCTCTCTGTTTTTGCATGAGGTCTGTGACAAACGCACCTCCTCTTCTGCATGGACTGGACTCAGCTCTGTGTGCAGGCCAGCAGGGGAATGACAGAACTGCTTTTGCTTTAAGAAACATTAAGTATAGTTTGAGATCATGGCCAAATGAAAAACATCATGAATGTTTTTAAGCAGATTCCGAGTGGGGGGAGCCAATCTATTTCGACCTTGGATAGATGCCAGGTGTGCGGCCTGTTCTGGAGATTCACTGTCCATGTTGTCTTTGGAGAAAGAACATGTACATTTTGGGAGCACAGTAAAGAAATCATCACCTTTTTGTGGAGAGATTTTGGAGATTTGCATTATTTTTTCTGCCACTTGTGCCACTCAATGCTACTCTACCTCACAAATGGAATGTTGTCCACTTCAATTAACGTACTACACGGATGTACTTGTGCCTAGAACTGGATTTTACAGAATAGAAATTTAAGAGGAAAGTTTTATAAAAATTAAAATTTATATTTTGTCAACCTGTTGGTAAAATATAACCATTAAACTGTGAAATGTGTCCCTCTTATGCTCCTGTTTGCATTTCAGAGCCACGAGATGTGCGGACATCTCTGGTGTAATTGATACAGAGTTTAAGATATCTCATGCTTGGAGCCACTCAAAGTCAAATGCAACACTCTGTTTTGATCCAGGACCAAACTCACAAATAAAATATTCTAAACATTTCCTAAAAAGGGATTTACGTGGTTTCCGCCTGGAGCTTGTTGTTTTATTACAGGTCCCTCAATCTCTGCCTCAGCTGTGAAATGGGAATTGGGGAAAAACTAAATTTGGTCACACTGTCAAATAGATCCTTCAGACACCAGCTTTACCAGGGTTTATATTAACACAGGAAATGTAGACTGACTTTCTCTGTGCAGGAATTGTCGCACTTGAAATGTCACTGTAGTCCAAAACTACAGAGCAACAGCTTCGTAAAGATTCGAGCCATTGTACCTTTAGTTACTGCAGTTTGGAGGCGTAGAGTGGAGTAACAGGTTAAAGATTATACATCAAGATCAGGAAAATATATACAATACATTTTGAATACTTTTTTGACAAATATTGAACTTTTACCACACAAAGCGTTAAGGTAAATGTGAAAATAACATGAGCACCACTAATAATGCGCTACATTAGTCCCATCATTGGATCCATGGACTGCATAAACTGCTTATAATGAAGTTTTGTCACCTGGGAAGATTTACGTTCACAATGCTGACTGCAGATGGACAGTGAGTGTTCAGATATGTGTTTCGTGGGAGCGTTTACAGAAGATAATGTTTGCAAACTTTGCAAAATTCAGACATATTATTCAGCTATGGATAGTTTTGCCTGATGATACAGGAATACACAATATATGAACAAAAGCAGAGTTTATACTACAGGCAACAATAACCATCAGATCCAGGTCTGAAAGTGAATTTGAGTTTAAAAGAGCAGTTTTAGTCACTGTCTTGCTTCTTTGATATTGCATACTGTTTCTCTGTATTCTATTTTAGACATGTTTGCACAAAAGGATTTTTATCATGGGATTATGTTGCAAGAAAGTGTTAAATTGCCAAGAAACTGCAACAATTTTTTTTAGTTTCAAACAGAAAATAATTTCTTGCCTTTGGAATTGTACCAATAAATAATGATGGAGCAATAAAGCTGTTATTACAGGCTGCTTCAAACCAACAGCTGGAAAACCTCTGGGCACTTATCATTGTTGCTGTCATAACTGCACGTTGGGCACGGAGTATGTTTTACCCGTTTTATCTGTTATGTTTATTAGAATAACCCAGCTCATGTTTGTAATTGTAACGACGTCAACCCCCACATACATCAAACAGTAGTACAATATCTCAGTCTAATTCAAATATCAAATTTATCAAAATCAATCAAGGGAAATGTCAAAGATCTAAAATGAAATAAAGATCTGATTAGCGTGCTATCTTCAAGAGCGTCTGCGGAGATAAGCGTGTCACACTGTCATAGGCATGGGAGGCATGCTCAGTGCTGTTCTGAAGACCACGACAGGATGAGATGTGTTGGGATGTGTTTGTGTCTGTATCATGAGATGGTATGGAAAACTAATAGAAACACACATGTATGAAAACAAATAGCATAACATAAAGTCATATTTTTTTATTTATATTTTATTTCTGGAAGGATATCTTGTACACCAAATATCCCATTGGCAGTTAAGCGCATTCAATGTGTTTAGAAGCCAGAAACAGTCACTTGTTTTAACAAACACAAATACAAAAAATAAAGATAACCACAAAATAATGAACTGCATGTAAATAACATACAAAAATCCCATGCCTACTCAGTAGGTAACTTTAACATTCCAGCTCTTGAAGATGTGGATATTTACAGGTTTTACAAAAATATATTTGATAACTTTTGTCCTTTTTGCTTACATTCACATGAAATGAAGCGGTGCCCTCAGCGCTCTTCCCTTCTCTCCCTCTGAGTACAACTACATTCTGTAACAAAAATATTCCCTTAACCCTTAAGGCGAGATGCCGAGCAGCTTCTCTCGTGCAGAGCCGCGTTACAACAGCAAGGCTTCACAAAGGCACCAATAACGGGAGCATTTGTTTTTGAAAAGGTTTTCTTTTCTCCATTTTCATATATCCAGGCGATATGTTACATGTGGTAGTACCAGTGGATGATATTTACAACAGAAACTAACATCACTCTTACTCATGCTTAAATACTAAGTGCTTTTATCGAAACAAAACGTATCACAGCATCACTATATAATAGAGAAAGAATGTAGAAAATATGGCCCTGTTACTTCAAATAATACAATGCAAATATGCCAATAAATTCACATCAATGGTACCAAAGGATGATGAAACAAAACATGGCACATGTACAATATACATACTGTAGCTTATGTATATCATCTGTCACTGGTGCCTGCGCAGGCACTGAGCACGGCCACTGCTGGCATCGAGTCTGTCATTTGTACCTAAAGATTTGTCAGTGCTGGCTTCAACTCCTGTTTGTTCAACCTGTTCAGCATGTGAAGTGCTGCAGTTGCTTTACACATAGAAAAAGAAAAAATGTCCCTTTTCAATGTATATTGTCTTTGCTCAGTTCTTGACACTTCGCGCATGTAAGATTTACCAAACACTGTACAAGGAGTACACACAAGTGCTTTTGGAGGGCACAAAGTTTTCTCAATGCTGGATTCTTCCACCTCAGAAAGACTTGAAATGAGTTTGTGAGTGAGAAGAGTCTTAGCATATTTCAATTGTCCGAGGGGAGAGTGTGGTCTGCATGTCTGACAGAGGGGTAGTCACAGGGGAACTGTAGATGTTAGAAGCTATTGATGAGGGAAAAGACGACGCCACCTGCGATTGAAATGTATTGGACATGGAGACTGTGGGGTACGTGGTGGCTATTGATGGAGAGGGGTACGAGTGCACAGGAGAGGAGTAGCAGGAGGTGACAGGGGAGGGGTATGAGGACACTGGCGAGGGGTATGAGGTGATTGGGGAGGGGTAGCTGGAAGCTGGGGAAGCTGCTGACACAGGTGCTGCTGCTCCCACAGCTCCTGCCTTCTCTGTCTTCTTGTCCTTCTGCCGCAGGTGAATCTTAGTGTGCCTTTTTCTTTCGTCACTGCGAGCAAACTTCCGGCCACAGATCTCACAGGCAAAAGGCTTCTCCCCGGTGTGCGTGCGTATGTGTGTGGTCAGGTGGTCACTACGGCTGAAGTTGCGCATGCAGATGCGGCACTGGAAGGGCTTCTGTCCGGTGTGAATGCGGATGTGTCGTGTCAGTTCATCTGAGCGCGAGAAGCGGCGATCGCATGTTTCCACAGGACAGGCGTACGGCCGCTCGTGTGGAGGGGTCTTGCTGGGCCGTGTGGGGTACTTTCGCATGCGACTGGGCTTAATGAGCTGGGATGGGTATACACTCTTTAAGTCCTGGGAACCAGTCTGTGTGGCAAAGGCTTTGATGGTGGACAGGGGAGTTAGCGAGGGCTGGCTGGGCTGGCTCTGGAATGGTTTCTGGTCTGGGGGCACCAGACTGATCTCACCCTGCTGCTGAGGGAACAGGTAGTCAGGAATCATGGGCACTGGGAAGCTGCCAGGACAGGTCTTACTGTTGGGATAGGCAGGGGGAGGGTACTGCACTGTTCCCCCTGAGCTGAAGCCCTGGTCAGGAAAGATGTCTGAGTTGGGGCTGGAGTAGGCAGGGGCTGCAGTGTAGATGAGGTTGGACTCGCTGTGGTGGATTGCAGCGCTGAGGCTGGCAGCGGAGGATGAGGGGGAGGTGGCAGTAGTGGTGGAGGAGGAGACCGAAGCAGAGACTGAGGAGGACGAGGAAGGTGTTAGAGAGCTGCTGGAGGAAGAATTGGAGCTGGACTGAACGCTGCTCATGAGGCCAGTGAACAGGCCCAGGATCGGCTCGGCCCACAAGCTGTTACTGCAGGAGGTGGCGGGCTCCAGCGTGAAGCGGCCCGTGTAGGAGATGGGCGGCAGCCTCTGAGTAGAGTATGTCTGCTCTGATTTGTCACAGTTGAAGGGGAGATCAGGTAATGTGTCTGTGGGTACAAAGAAATACAAGGTACATGAATCAAACTGCCAACAGAAAGTTGATAACATTTTACTCACAAAACTTTTTTTCCATCTAAATCTAAAAGGATGGGAAGTCATGAGCCAGCTAAGCGTTTTCAACCTTCCCTGCTCTCAATCTGTCTCACATTTTTCACACAACACTCACATTCTGAAGCCCATCACTGAGCCTAAGGCGATTGATTACTGAAACTGCAGTTCAGCTGGTTTTAGGAATGTAATTTGAATTGAGCTATAGGAGTGTCTAGAGGCATGTGGTGACTGAGCAGTGCTGAAGTCTTCCACAAGTCCACTGGGATTAGGAGCTGCCGATGCATCACCTTCCCCTATATCCCTTATTTTAATATCAAATCAGCAATAAAAAATAAACATCTACTTTCTTTTTAAATTCCCCAGCAAAGACAGTGAACCTAGTTTCTAAATTAAACAATGTACTCTACTGTTCAATTATTTTTTTATTGTTTTATTAGTTTGACAAACAAATATACTATCATTTAAAACTCTGATTAAAAAGTACTTGGTTTTTTTTGGAAAATGAACATGCATCACGTATGAATATTTGTTATAAATGCTTACCTCCGGTGAGGTGGTCATAGTGCTCGCCAGGCTCTCCGGAGCCAAAGCCTGCACCCTCGGGTGCGGAGGCGGTGAGAAACGGCGTCCCCGCAGAGGTGAGCATCATCACTTCTTCCAGCTTTGGGTAGTTATCCATGGGAGAGTGAGGGAAGCTGAGGGGCTCGGAGATCTGCAGGGCTGGGAGGATCATCTCCGTCTTGGCTGCAGCCATGCTCTGGTGCTGGAGCTGCAGGCGCTCTGTGACTGTCTCACAGGTGCAGGAGGAATCTCAGTCCACACACTTCTGCTCCAAAGGAGGATGCTCTCTCCTTAACTCTTCCCCAGCTGTCCGGCTGGTCTCACAGATGAATAAAAATCCACTTGTCTTTGCAGAAAAAATCACAAGTGTCCTTTATGCACCTTCCATAAAACTCATCAAAATCAATCATCTGATTAATCTTGATTTGTTTTGTGTGTGCAATTACTTTTCCAGTCAGGTACTGACCTTCTTGGAAAAAAGTTGTTATTTTATGGCGTTTGACTTTGTTGTGTTTGGGAGTCTATGTGTTTGTCAATCTAGTCTGCTCTAACAGTTGCGCTACTGAGCTCTAAGGGCTGTCTCTGAGCCGAGAGGTTCCCTGCGCCTCTTATATCCTCTTGCCGTGACGTAGATGTCCATATTTGGAGAGGAGGAAGCCCATATTTAGGCAACGCAACAGAGACACATGACGCCGGCCACGGGGAAAAGCAAAGAGGAGAGATATTATATTAAGCTCTCACCATAAATTGCGAAGACAACGTCGCGCTTCTTTTGCTCCGAATCAATGCGTTTTCATTGTAGAACAGCTCTGCTCGACAGCAGCGTAATTCTTGCTCGCTAGCCTTCGCCTCGTAGATTAGATTTGGATTTCCCATCTGTGCAGCAGCCTGCGCTGCTGCCGGAAAGCCCGGCTCCGTCGTGCCTTATAAGGTCGTGACTACATAAGGACCTATTCCGGTGGGTTTCCAGTTCCCTGCCCTTATTTGGGACTTCCTGAGGCTGATCGCTGTTAGGCAGTGAATGAGAGACCGGAGTGCAAATCATGCACAGCTCGTACAATAACGATAGCGCGCATAATGTTGCTCTGTTAAACCCATACGGCTAAACTGTGCGGACCATAAACTAACCCACGCCAGACGGGTTTGAAACGTTTATATAATACATTAAAAGCAAGCAACAATTCCTCCCGTGCCCAAACAAATCCACCCAGTAGTGAAAAGACTGTGCGCAGAGGAGACGCATGAGCTGCTGTCACACTGATATTCTCCAGTTCCACTGTTTGCACGATACACGTGGAAGGAAAGCTAACCTCTTCTAAAGTTGCTCCAAAGAAGCTTGGGTTTACTTTGGACACTGGCATTGATGAATGAGTGCGGGTCGGCCTGGATGCTGACGAGGTGCGGGCCAATCCGTCTAATTGAGGGGTGTCCCCGACTCGATATTGAGGGAATCTCTGTGCCACTCACAGGACTAATGGGCCACATTAACAACACTGCGCACAGCTGCCAGCACGCCTGCGGGATACCGATGTTCCCCCCGGCGGCTGCAGCGTCGTTTGGCGACTGCACCGCGCGGTGGATGTTGACAGCAAATCTATTAGTTTCCCAAGTTGCTGACTGGATCTATATGCACGCTCATTGGCAAACATTGTGGACCGGACACTAAAGCAAATGGGGAGAGGGGGGGCTGAGGTGCTCATACCAGCACTGATAAGGAAGTATACACTATTCTCCTTTTATTAGCCCTAATTGTGGTATTAAATAATACAAAATATCATCAATATAACAACTACTACTACTTCTACCACTACTAATACTACTACTACTACTACTAATAGTAAATAATAATAACAGATGAAACAGATTCATAATAATAGAAATGATATGTTTTTTGTATCGTGTCTTGTGAAGATAAAGTAATAGGAGACAAGTGCGAGAAGAATACAGAATTCTACTCTAATTAGCCCTAATAATGATATGAAATAATAATAATAATTGCAATAACCACCACTACTACTACTACTACTACTAATTTTATTTAATTGTACATACTATATCTTGCGTATAAAGAGTGTTTGCACATTCCCTGTTTTCACATTTATAATCTTTTGGCAAAAGACAAGAAATGTGTCATGTAAGTTTCTCCACTGCGAGATCTATAAAGTCTATCCTATCCTATCTTACTACTTACTATTAGTACTACTACTGATAATTATTATTATTATTACAACTAACAGGCTACTAACCAACATAATAATAAAAATGATAAAAATGTTTTTTTATGGCATCTCGTAAAAGTAATTAAGTGAGAAAAGTAATTAAGCTAATAAAGAGAAGGGGTGTAGTTTGGGCCTCCCCTTACTGGCGGAGGGGGTGGGAGAGGCAGCTGAGGCACATGTATGTTGTTGTTGTTTATGTCGGCCTCACTCGTGCTGCCCACACGTCCTGCCCCAGTGATGAAACTCCAAGCCTAAAAGCAGGAAGCCTTTCTGCTGTTGGAGCTACACCACACCCATGACATTCACTCAAACACACCCTGCACACGCCATGTTAAAGTTTAATCATGCCCCATACTGTGGAATGGAGGAAGTGGAAATGAAAAGACAAAATGAAAGAAGGAATATTAACAAGCAGTGAAAAATGCTAAACATGTTAAATGGCAAATCGGTTATACTTTCAGATACACTTACACAGAGAAACAATTACTTGAAGAATGCATTGTTTTTGGCCAGTAATAATAATAATTAGATTATTTACTTTTTTTATATTCATTTTTTCGAATGTAAAACCAAATTGTACATACAGTCAATTTTATTTATGTATTTTAAGACATTTGAGCATTTCCAGCTGCAAACACAGGCATAACATTGTTTCGACCTGAGACATTTTTAACACAAATTCATGGGCAATGCTTTTGTGTGACGTCATAGTGGTATAATAACATCAAACAGGACTGAGATTGGAGCTTTGAGGCTGAAGGGAGCGGAGCTATATATGTGTGTATGTGAAAAAGTTCCTGATATTTGTGTAGATGGAGCAAAAAATGAGTCGAGGTCTGTGACTGATGAGGAACAATTTTGGGACATGGAGAAAAAGGTCAATGTTCATTATACGTCTAATTTAAAACTGTTTTCGGAAATGTATTGAGTCAAGTTAAAGAATGTCAGGTTTGGGGTCAGCAGCAGGGTTCAGGTTGTTTATTTAGGGCACAATATGAACTGACAGCACACAGATGGGAAACAGGATCAACTGTAAATTAACTCTTTTATATGAACTCCTAACTTGCAGCAGCAGTGTCACAGAGAGGCCCCCGGTTATCCCTATCTGGCGTGTCGTCACAAAGCCAACCTGTTGCAGCCTTTTTGTGCTGAAGAATGTTGTAAAGGAATGTGGATCTGAGATACAGTCATATTTCACGAGAATTCTTCTGACTATTGGATCGAGGTGATTTGTCAACTGAGTGGTGTTTCCCAACCTGGCATATACATTATTTTATTATGAACATTAAACCCATAATGTATTTAATAACAAAACTTTGATCAGTCTACAATAACAAGCCTTTCTCTTTTTGAGTGCAGTTTTGGTTCAGCCCAAGCATCTACATAACTCCTTAATGTCAACTCGCTAAAAAACTGTTTTCCACAAAGAAATCGATGGAGAACTTAAACAGTATAGAGATCAAAAATGTAGTGGCCCCTGACCAGTCATTATGTTTTTGAAAATGACCCCCACCAATATGAGTTTGACCCCTGAGGTACATGACTTGGTGTACCCCCCTTAACTAAGTAAGTGATCTTTATTTATATAGCGCCTTTCACAGACTGAGTCACACAGCTCTTTTTTCTTCTCAGTCCGCAAAGAGATGAAGCGGGGTCACCATACAGAAGGGGCATCCAGGCCTTTTGTACATGTTTTCAGTGCAGGGGTCCTCTTCCCCTGACGCTGGGTCGGGGGTACACAGGGCCCCCAAAGGGCAACAAAGGTTGGAGAACCCTGGCCACTAGGTGACAAGGAAACATGTCAGTCTGTTTTGGACAGACCACAACTGACCGCGCTTTGACCTGCAGGATCTGTGCTGATGTTTCTGTGAGAGAGACGATGACCCCTGACTTTTGTTCCCTGATGAGTCATTGCTGCAGGAGAGACGGGGCTTCCCCACATCACAGTCTCCGCCACCGGTTGTGACAAATAAACCGCTGGGTTCTGCACCATGGTGTGTGCGTGGGCACTTAATGGGTCAGACCATTCTTCATTTAAATGAAATCATATTCAAAATATTTACTAAACCTGATCATTTCATCTAGATCTACAAGAGATCTGCACAACGTCTGCTGCAGGTCTATGAAAAACCAATATGGATCGACCACAAAAAAGAGTGGTTTCAATCTATTTTTGCACAAATCAAATCATTAAGCAACTTTGCAGATTCTGAAAGGTCAAAAAGTTCAAAAGACAATTTTCTTCAAAGATTTCCAAGGGTTCTGCCATTACTGATAGAGTCATGTACATTTTCACCACAGTTCAGTATAGGGCTGGGCAATAAATCAAATTTAGGCAATTAATCGGCTTTTGAAATGTGTGAAAAATGTGAAAATCGAATGAATGTGAGAGTTCCAACAGCACATGAATTCTACTTGCAATATCAGCACAGTCTGTACAAGACTTTTATAATACGTATTTGGGGAACAAAAATAAAAATGGTTTTGAAACTTGATTATTGAGCGGAAAGATCAAAACATATTTTTAAGGGAAAACTTGAACAAAAATTGATTTAAAATCAAAATCGTCCAAAGCAGGAAATAAAATCAAGATTTTACTTTTTTGCCATATCGCCCAGCCCTAGTTTAGTATTATTTGTTGACACCGTTGTGTTGTGGACCTGCCCCTACACTACAGTGGAAGTTATTGGCTGAAGTCACTTTCACCAGCTGCTGACATCTTCATTTGGAGTGAGACATGAGCTCTGTGTCCAGACAGAGCTGCAGCCACTGGTTTGTTGACTTTAGCAAACACGTTCTGGGTGTGACTGTCAAGTTCAGACACAACTTCCTCCACAGGATTTAGATCCATAAAAGTTACTTATGAAAGACCAGAAAATTGTATACATTACTGTATTTGTATTTACTTTAAATGCAGATACAGTAACAGTAAATAAAACCTTAAGACACTTTACTCTGTTATTGTTTTTCATTATTCAATTCTTCATGGTCAGTGTGTCCCAGATTGTCGAGTACTCTATTTTATCATTCATGTTTTGTCTAATTTCATCGGAGAAACAAAACAGTAATCAAGTATGTTGATGTTATAGATTTTCAGCTGGAGGGCAGGTGCCAATACAACTCAACTGCCAATAAAATAATGTCCAAATGTTTTAATAGTGATTAGATTCAGTGATTATTTAGTCTGAAGTCTTTTCTAATGGCCAACAACACGCATATGCTCTTTCTGAATTTTGACATAGCTTCTAGACACCTTTATGAGAAAATAATTAGACTATAGTTGACACGTACTGACAGGGAAGATGTGGACCTTTGTGACTGCGGACAGAGAAATTAACTAAAAGTCTAGATGTTTGACTTTACATTATTACCATAGTTACCTGGGGGAGAAAAAAAGCTGACCTCCATCCCAAGGAAACTATAGGTTCTTTGGCATGTTATGATGTCACACGAACACATGATCCAATGTTTTGTGATTGGGAAAACACATTCTGCAGCAAAAGTAACATTAGTGGACAACTTCAGACATGATTTCCTTTAGCATCCTCAAAAAAGCACTTTAAAAAAAAACGACACTGAATGAAATGTCACCTGTCTCACAAAAACACCTGTCCAAAACTCTCTGATCCAAAATAATAAAACTCGAGGATGTTGTTTTGATATAGTTCTGTGTCTGATGGTCGGAGCCTTTCCCAATAAAGTGAGAATGACATTTGATTCCCAGTGAGACGTATTTGTTTTATTGTGTTGCAGATCGACCGGAGCTTCAGAACCGGCTGATAAATGGGTAAAGAGAGCTACAGAGGCAGTGATGGAAGGCTAAACTCACAAAGTTCCTGCGAGTGATGAGAAAGAGACTGTCGCCGGAGCGTTTGACAGATGCCGCCCCGGGCAGGTGCGACAGGTTGATTCAGGTAAGCCCCCCACCGCTCCTCACCCCCTGTCCCAGCTGGAGAGCCCCGGCGCGGGATAGCCTACAGGCTGAGGAGATAGGTCTACATCACAATACACTGCCAGCCTTCACAATTAGACATCAGCAGCTGCCATGGAATAGTGACAGGCAAGACAGACAAGACAAACAACACTCACATCAGATAAAAGTTGAAAAATAGAGAAAAACCCCAAAAATTATGTCTGTCAGAATCGTTTCTCTTTTGGGTTGATTGTAACAGAAGCAGTTCCAGCGCATTTGTTTTGTCATTTTGTGGTTTAGTTTGATTAAAAAAAACAATGTTGCAAGCCCCGCGCAGGCTATTTAGAGCGAAAGGTAATTAGACAAAATCTAATTTGCAATAATGGCTTAATTTTAGATCATCTGTTGCGAATGAAAACTGTCAGAGGAGTGGTTCACCCTTCCCCCGAGAAGCACGGAAAGGACAGGGTTTGCGGGTTAATGCTGTGGACTAGATTAAGTCGACAGGATCATACATAATGCAGTCATTTACCTTAATGGGAGGAACGTGACTATAGAGCGCTGTTTACATTAGAGGAGGGTGAGAGTTCAGCCGAGCCGGGGGAGACTTTTCTGCCTACGCTGGCGGCAGACGCTGTAATGAATTTCTATAAAGCGCAGGGCAAATAAAAATAAAGAGACTCGGAGGACGGCGCGTGTTGATAGGCATTGGGTGATGCTGACGGTGAAGATGATGGCACTGAGACTTGAGTTCTAAGGGAGTCAGCAGAACGAAGCTGCCTGTCATCAAACACTTCACGGAAAGGTAAGATACTCCAGTTAATCGCACGGCTTTACTCCACGTTAGATTTCTTTTCATTAGTGTGCTGCACAGGAGGTGATGGTGCATAGGTCTGCCTTCACACAAACTCACACAAAGTACAAAAGCAACAGAAGTGCAGAGCAGAAATCCACAAGTGTCCTGAGCTGCCTTACATGTCACTGGCACAAAACATGCAGAACTGTTCAAATAAATATTGAACAAAGCCACACTGACATTGCTGCGGCTGACACCCCTAAAGAAAATGACTTCATAGCAACACTGATGTATTCAAGGATATTTGGTTTTGCACAACTGGAAACAAAAACATCTACGTGTCATAATTTAGTTTTAGAGACTGTATTCCTCTCTTTATTGACTTATATGCAGAAAACATTGAGAGTTGGAAAGTCATGAACTTCCATTTTGTGGTGCAGGCATGGTGACAGTGTGTTCTCATTATGAGCAGGTCCTACTCTTCGGTCTCCCCCATCTATCTGTGCATTCCCAGACAGCTTCGCAGTTCAAACTCGCGCACTGCGGTATTGTCACACACCATGCTGGTTGCCATGGTGAAATAGTCCTCTTGGTCTCCAAGGTACCCAAGTCTATTGTCTTTGGCTGCTTTATTTAGATGAAAACATGATTTGTTGAAAGGGATCTACTTGTTTTTTTCAGCTTCTCTTTGCTGCTGCTCTTTCGTCTTTGTCCTCTTCACCAGCATCAATACAGCGTTGCATGTGCATTGTTTCATTCTGCTCCTTTCCAGGAGTTTGACTATGTGCATGTGTGCGTCAAGCTCGTCTGATGTTTTGTAGCAATTAATTTGAGTGTGTCTGCATGTCAGAGCCCCAGGAGGGGGCCTGTATAAAAGTTTTCCCCATTGCCACATCTCTCGCCAGGGCTTATAATTGCCTTCTATTACCAGGGCTGGTGTCACAGGCTGCCTGTCTGTCAGCTGCACACTCTCAACCCCGACGCATGAGGAAACAGAGTCAGAGGTTTCTCTCTGTTGCTCATTTTGACAGGATAAATGTGTGTCCTATTTATAAACGTACAGTAAATAGGCCCACCACATTGTCCTGGCAACAGTTATGCGAAAAATACCACCAACAAGTGAGATTGGGAGACAGTACTGTGGCTGGGACCAACAAAACAAGCCAATGGTTGAAAACCTGTGAGAATAGTGGCTGTAGTTTTAATTGAGACAGTGGTGACCTTTGAGCCCATTCCTCTGCATGTTTTCGTTTCTGCTCACAGCTGTCATCTGACTACAGCTCCTGTACTTGTGCAGTGTGTCTGAAAACCAAACAGGAAGTGACATCACATCCGTGGCTCCGTGATATCACAGACGAAAGAGTGAAAGCTGCAGAGAGACGGCCGGCCTCCGAGCGTGGCAGACATGGAAAGAGGAAGCGTGTTTCGTTCTTGTTCATTGGCTGTGGCCTGTCCCAGACTGTGGTCTGTTTAAGGCCGGCCAGACAAATAAAACTCATGCCATCTACTTCAACGTGTCTCAGAGGAGCAGAAGCATCTTTGATGGAATACATAGACAAAAGTTCCTCACATAAGCCAAATGTGCAAACTAGAATGTTTTATATGACCTGTACCCTCATAACGTGTGAATAAAGACTTGTTACTTATACAGTATGTGTTTGCATGTTCTCCTGTTGCTCATTGCACATGTCCTTAACCAGTCTGTTCACGGTCACTAATACAATGACATTTCCTTTTTTGTGTGCGGTGATGTCAAAGTGGAAGGAGAGGTCTTGGAAACTGTGACGCGGCAGACTGTTGTGTTTGTGGTAAGAGCGTGTGGAGGCTCGTCTCTTTGGCATCAGGGCTAAATGCTGAATGGAGTGGGTGCAGGTAAACATGCTAAAACAGGCCCACTCATAATGTTGCCTTTTGACATCTTTCATATTCATACACCCACCTGTTTCTCTTTCAGTCACAGGTCTGTGATTGCTGAGTCTTAAGTAAATTTAGCAAACACCTCAGCATTGCGAGATTGCTTTGGAATAAATGTGTGTTTGTTTTGGCTAGGAAGGATCGTCATGAAGTTTGTTACTCCACTATAAGAGGACAATTACACAACGACAAACACAACACTGTCACAGCTTTTGTAGGATCTCAAAGGCATTTTGTTTTGCTCCATATACAGCGATTGTAAACTACCATGATCTAATTTTCATTTCACAAACACTTAAATCTTGGCAACATATCTTTTTTCCTACAGAAGGAGCCCTGTAAAAATCAGACTTTCTGAACAAATCATGAGAAATCAAAACTTGCGCAAACTTGTAAGAGCTTTGAGTCAAAATAGGACACTTGAGTGGTTATCTCTACTTCCCTTTCCGTCCGAGCAAACTGAACTAAAGCTGTGTAAAAGCCAGAAGTCATGTGGCAAAAACTCAAAATGTACTGTCATGTTTAGGGTTCGAAGTAACGAGTAACCCAGCTTTAAAGTACACAGGAGACACATTGCTCTGACGTTGGCCATTGTGGGATTTGGTGATGATGAAAGCCTGATATGACTTGGTTTCATTCAGGGACACAAATAGACTTGTTTTTGAAGGCACTCCTACATTTCTTGATTTGAGAAAGGGGGAACTTGAGAGTGACTCACACCAGATGTGTTTCTAATGCTGAAGCAGCAGACTCCAGATCAGTGCAACCTAATAATGTCAAAAACCCACTGGGGAATAAAGAGGCGATTTTGAAAACAGTATCTAAGTGGTCAGATGCAGATGGAGGAACTACACGTGAAATACTGCACTGTTATCTTTGGTACATAATGGAACTTTGACTTTAGGAACAGAGAGTGAGGAGTTAAAATGAAACACAATTTCATGAGGGGCCTGTAGTCGGAAGTGTGAGCCCCTCGCAGAAGCAGCTGTAGGTGGGAAAACTATATGGGAGTGTGGGAGAAAAGGAAAAGGGGAAAGGTTTTGGCATGGAGCCAGGGGAACTCCACTTACCGTTACCCAACATGCACTCTGTCTACACACACACACACACACCCTGTACCCCTGACCCAGCCCCTTTACCCCATCGCCAGAGTAACACACTGACCCCTGGGTGTTCCTGCTGGACCATCTCCCACCGGGACTGTCCTGGGCCAAGGAGGCGGGGCTAATCCATCTATTTATAACTCACACTCATTTTGTACTAGTGACAAAGTAATCTGCTTGGTCTCACGCAGCCACACCAGGCTCGTGCTCCAATGTGAGGCTTGTGGAACCGGAAAAGGACAAAACAAGGAGATAATGAGAATAACAATCAGTATGAAAAGATATAGCAGGACGTTAAAACAAAAGGAATGGTTTTGTGTACACAATCTTGACAAAAATGGGCTTCTTAATGAACAGCCAAGGGACAAGTACAGCCAAACTCACAAATCATTGAAACTCGCTTAATGTTGCATGCTTTTCGCTAAGGTTTCTGCAAGTTTAATGCGGCTTTACTTCATCTAATAAGACAGAACGATCCCAAATATGCCATCACTTTGAGGTGTTTTGGAATAGTGTGGAACTATGGCAAAGTTTAGGAAGCAAATCATACACGTAGCGGTGTGTAACATTAGCTGAAGTAAATCCTATAGTCTGGTTTGCCCCCTTTAGCGAAATCAGCCAATGGTGAAAGAGCAGTGACAGCGCCGGGAGGAGGAGGAGGGGTCAGATGAGGCCTCACAATGGCCAGAGTGCAGAGAGGAGCAGCTTCCATAAAGGCCTTGATACTGATACTCTTGGTCTGTAGCTTTGGAGACATTCCCCGACACAGGACAGCCACTGGCACTGCTGCCTATTTGTTGTAAAAAGCACTTAAGGGTTGAGGGGGATGCATTCTTTATACCCAACGTTTTGGAAAATAGTATACGGTTACACGTAAGATTATTTTTGTAGAGTGTTTGTTGAGTGTAATTTCTGTATTACTTGAATTATCCTCATAGAAAGATGAACCACACATCGCGACAATCTTAGCAACGCTCTATATAGTTCATTTGTGGTCACATTTGTGGAGAAATTTGTTCATACTGTTATTCTGGGGAAAAAATAGACAAAAAAAAAACTTATTTTAGACTTTTTTTGGTTACTGTTTTCTTCATTGTAAGTTGCCTGTGGTTTTAGGGGAAAAATGTCTCTCCCTGATATCGGGTAACAGCAGATAATGAAATATTGAGATTGGTATCAGACGCAAAAAAGCTAAATTGGTGCATCCCTAACTATTAATATGAGGATTTATGGATGTTGTAAATGAAATGGTACAATTGTATGTATTCTTTTGTAATTTAAACTTTGTACGTCTGTTTTTGGATTAAAAAATGTAACCAAACCCAATACATTACAAATGTCATAGACTTCCTATATAAAATCAGACTGATTTTAGCATGGATGGATCTAAAAAACAACAACAACACCAGGTCTGTTTTTGATGAGGTAGCAATGTTGCCCAAAAAAGCTGATTTTCATAAAATGTCTCCTTTAGCTCTTTAACACGTCCTATATCTACTTAAAGCGAGCGTGGAACAGAAATCTACCTGATTGGGTCATCTCCATTCAATAAGGCCTATTGGGCGGCACAGTGGCGCGGTGGTTAGCGCTTGTGCTTCACAGTAAGAAGGTCCTGAGGCGTGTATTGACGATCTGGCAATTGCCCCCTGTATGACAACCCCACTCCCATCTCGGTGTGGAGTGAGAGGACAAATGCCCACAACAATTGTAAACTTACTTACTTATAATTAAAATAAAATAGGGGTTCAAAAAACACAACAAATAATTATTTTGTGTTATTAGTGCTCTACATCTTAGAAAATCAAAAAAAAGAAAAAAATACATTGCATTCTTCAAGGAGGGAACATTAAAGGGTTAAGTAAATCTGTGTATCTGCGTCAAGTGGTGCTGACCTGACTGAAGATGCAGCTTAATTTACGCTGTTGGAACCTCTCTACAGTCTAACCTTGATCAAATCCCATTAGTGACGAGTTTTTGTATCCTCCCGGGCAGGTGAATGAGTAACAGACGCTTATACTACTTACCCTACAGACATCATTCATTACATGGCTACTCTTAAGCCTTGGTAGTCAATCCACCTGACTCCCAGATTCTCTCCTCTAATTGGCTTGGACTCGTTCCACTGTGCGTACCACGTCACACCATGAACCTAACCGGGACCCAGACATAAGTATATTAGCATGAAGTATAAATAGTTGGAAGTGGTTAAATTCAGCGTCATAGTAATAGGGAAGAGAGTATTTTTGTCATCTGTGAGCTTCTTATTGGTGTTAAATATAGGTTTTGTGGTCCACAGCGAGGCGTGGAAACAGTGACAGGGACCTGTTCTGCCACAACAAGCTTCCTGTGCATTATGAGTAGTGAGAAAGCCGCAGCCGTGACGACACATGGAAAAACAGAGAAAAGAGGCCAACAGAAAGGCGTGGAGAATCAGCAATGAGGAAGTTGTGGCTTTGTTTGTAAAAAAGGAAAAAGAACTGTAAGTGGATATAGTTACTGTGAAGTTTCCTCAGCTCGGACTTTCCCCGGACAGATAACAGTCTGCTGTGATCGGGGATTGGAACATA